AAGGCTCATCATGAGCACGTCATCCGGTTGCTCGATCGTTGAGCTGATCGCTGCTTGCTGGTCTGAGCATGCCAGCTCGCGCGTTGTATGCAAGATGCAGCGTCCATATACATGCGATGGATGATCTTGTATCACATTCGTGATGTTCAGGAACCAACAACAATTACAAATTTGTTTTGCCATCGTGTCCCTTTGCAGACTCACGACTGGGGGGGGCAGCAAAGGGCGGGGTGGCGACGATCAACGCGTCTATGCTCATCATGGGGCCCGTCCGGCATCATTCGAGGCGTGCAAATCACCTCGGATATCAAACTTGTGAATGAAAGGACTGGGTGTTGACCAAATGTAGCGTGCGCCCCGACCAGTTCGATCTCAATTGTGGCGCATTTTAGCATCTTGTTAGCGTTTGCGTTCGCATTCGGTCGATCAGTCTCCGATGCAGCCTGTCATGTAGCCCGCCCGCCCCGCCTTCAGTGTGAGTGACATGCCTCGTTCGCATCCGCCAGCCCGTCCGGCCGCAGTTTGTGTGTAACACCGCAAGCGAGCGAGCCGATGGTGTGATCTGGTGTCTGCCGTTGGTTGCGACACACGGTGCAAAGACGTGATGTGATTGATGCTCGGTGCCGCCAAGCCGTGGTACGGCCTTTGTGCCATGCCTATACACATCTCTACCCTTCCCCGCCCGCCGAGTGGCTGATGGAGCCCGTACGCACGCACGCAAGCGAGCCCAGTGCAGCCCTGTAACTTCAATTCCTCGCAATTTGGAGTCGTGAGTGGGCAGGGAGCAAGCGGTTGGACATAACGCACGCTTTTGGTGGAATGACGAATCCTCCCCTACTTGTGCGGGGGTAGACATGCCGTGGAGAGTGACTCGAAGGAACACGTATGGATTGATTCTTAAAGCCATGACTGCTAGACGCATGTCACCATGTACTCCCCTCTCCTCCATCATGGAGTCAAGCTGTTAGCCTTCACGTAGTTGACTCTTGCTTTGCAGCTAAGGCAGACCAAAGTCATCAACTCGAGACAATCGCATCCATCAGCAGCACAAGTCTACTCAACATGCCGTATCGACCAGACTTTGGCGCCTTCAACGCCACCGGCGATCCACTCACTCACCCTAAGACCAACCACATACTGGGAGGCCGACTGGGAGCCAAGCACTTCACACCGGCAGCCACCAGCATGGCTAGCGCTGCCTCCGACGGCTCCTCATCGACCATCTCGACGCGCAGGCCCGTGGCTCGTGCCTCTAGCGCTCAAGCCTCCACGTCCGCCTCGGCTGCGACCACTATTTCCAGCCCATCTTCATTGAGCGCCACAGCGTCAGCGACACCGGTCACGCCTCGCCGACAAGACCTTCCGCTGGATGCCTACTCCAAATCCTTCTCCTCGTCGGCGCGCAGCGCCAAGAGCCCATTTGCCAAACTTGCAGAGCTAGACGACTCAGAAGCGGAAGATGCAAGAGACGCATCCGTAACTGCCAACTGCGAATCTTTGACATCCCTGAGCATCTCCCCCCCGCTGGCTATTCCTCGCGTGAGCGATGATGCGAACAGAGGGAGGAGCAGGCATCGGGTTCCGGGTGGTACAAGCCGACGCAGAGGACCGCCAACGGAGAGGGGACGTTTGCACGCTGCCCGCGACGGTCGAAAGGAGACCAAACAGGTGACGATGGCAGAGCTGCAGGCTCCTTCGGCAGTTTTCACCGTCAAACAAGAAATTGCAAGGGCTGCATCGAACGCCAAAGCGCAACAAGACGACTTGCCAGATGCGGATTTGCAATTCGATTTGAGATTGTCAGATGAAGAACAAGAGGCGGATGATGACGATGATAACCTCATCGACCCGTTCAGTCGACCAATCAGCTCCTCGACGGACATTGACTATGATGACAAGCCAACTTTGTCCAGCATGGGTCCCATCATGGCACGACTCCCCTCTCGTACACCCGACACGATGCAAGAGAGACTCCCAGTCGGTCTCT